GTGGATTTGAACTGAGACTCCACTTTGGGGTCAGAAGCACAACTCCCTACAGAGTAGGCCACCAGAGCGCAGAGAAGAGATCAGATATATGGGAAGGTTACGAAACTTGCTGAGGATCACACAGAAATGGATTCCAGTACCATCCAAACCTGTCTAATGTGAAAACTTCTTAACCCTGTCTTGTCCTCTGTCCAGGGACTACCGCTGAAGGAACAGATTTGTGGGTAATTTACTGAGAATATCTCACTTTCAACATGACATAACATGGCTTTATTTCTTTTTCCAATCAGGCTTTAACCAATTGTTGTCAAGCCTTTCTTTCCCTTTATTTTTTAGATTTTGAACACATATAATAGTGCTTTGTTTTTCCTTGTTGTGTACCTTCGAGTCAGATCCGACTGGCACCAGACATTACCCCTCCTTCTCCAACAGAGCATTTGATGGATTTGAACTGTGCACCTTCAGGATTGCAGGGCAGCTCTTGCCAGTAGGCAACCAGAGCTCCCCAAACATATGTAATAGTTTTAGTTGACTTTTTTTTTTAACTTGTTCTGGATGAATTGTGTTCTCCCCAATACACGTGTTTACTTAACTGAGTCAGGATTCTCCCCTTGCCCTATCCTGCACTATCCTGACCATTTCAACATCAAGAAAATAAAAATTTTCACCACTGGGCCAACAGGCAACATTATGATAGATGGAGAGAAGATTGTAGTTGTTAACAATTTTATCTCACTTGGATCTACAAGCAACACCTTTGATTCTGGATGTCAAGAAATCAAAAGATCTGTTGTATTGGGGGAAATATGTTGTTAAGGACCTCGCCAAAGTTTAAAGAGCAAGGATGTCAATTTGAAGACTAAGGTGTGCCTGATCCAAGAAATGGTCTTTTCATCTTTTGCATCTGAAAGCTGGACAATAAATAAGGTTGGCAGAAGAATCGATGCCTTTGAGTCGTGGTGTTGGAGAAAATAACTGAATATTCCATGGACTGACAAAAGAACAAACAAATCTGTCCTGGAGAAAGTGCAACCATGGTGCTCCTTAGAGACAAGGATGATGAAGTTTTATACTTTGGGCAGGTGATTAGAGGGGCCAATCCTTAAAATATGACATCATGCTTGGAAAAATGGAGGGTCAGAGAAAAAGAGGGAGACCCTAAACAAGATGTATCAATACAGTGATGTAGCAACAGCTCGAATACATCGGGATGGTGAGGATGTTGTGGGATAGGGCAAGGTTCAGAGCTGTCGTTCATAGGTATGCTACAGGTCAGAGTCGACTCAAGGCCACCTAACAACAACTACAGCTCAATGGTATCCACCATTCAACCATCAGTTTCATACTGTGGTAGCTAATGTGTTGCTGTGATACTGGAAGCAATGTGTATGTCACCAGCTATGTGTCAGACAGCAGTAGGGTCATCCACAGTGGACAAGTTTATGTGGAGTTCCAGAGTAAGACAGACTTAGGTGCAGGACTGGCCATCTACTTCTGAAAGAACAGGAGAACTTGCATAGGTGAAATAAAATTAACATCAGCAGAGACTGATTTTTCATAGAGTCTATAGATCATACAGAGAAAATTATCATCTTCCTTCCCCAGAAGCATTGCTTCAAAGCTAAGTGTTCTCATGTGTTATTTATTATATTGATTTTATAAAATCAGTCACCATTGGACCTTGCCTATCATTACCCTGTCTTTTCACCTGGATCCTTCCCATTTGCTCTCCCCTCCCTCCACCCATCAGAGAATGACTGTATGAAACACAATGTGAATGAAGAACAGTATGAAACATTATAAGCAAATGGGGGGGGGGAGAATAAATATGTCTTTGATATATATGAACAGAGTTGCTAAGTGAAGACAGTCTGAAAAGGGCAAAACAAAAATAGCTAAGTGGTCACCAGAAGAATCTGAAAGTCTCCCAAGACAGTGGGAGAGGGTACTGGGCCTAAAAACAGTTGAAAAGAGATGAGGGGTAGATGGGCACAGGCCTGAGCACGGGCTTGCTCTGTGGCAATGAAGAACTCTGCATTGGGCTGGTGAAGAACCCTTTGTAGAGATGAGGAAGAAACAGGTGGTCAGTGGTTCTGCTTTCTGGTTTGCTTTTGCTGGATCAGTGCCCTGTATGTAGGCTCCTGCTCCTTGAAAACCTGGCTGGCTGGACACTTGTGGAACAGTGAGACACCGGCAAGGGAATTCTTCAGGTCAGTCCCTCTGCCACCGTGCCTCCTTCTTCACAGCAGTATGATTGTCGTTCTATGTTTTCATTCTTCCTGGCTCCTAACAGTTGTTGCTTTTATTGGCAAACAGAATACCAAAATAAAAACAAACACCAGTGTTTGTACAGGGAGAAAGTAACACAGATCTGTGTCTTCAGGGCTAAGAAAAATCTTACTTTACAACCCAGTAGGTCAAATGAGTACCTGGTCCTGTCCTTAGCACACCTCTTCAGTGGTCAGTGTGTTTGTCTCTTGGACAGGACTGGAAGCTGCTGTGATCTTCATCACACACCCTGAGTACTTGGCACTCATCAGTTGTGGGCCGACAAGGAGGCAGGACTATCCAGGAAGCAGTCATTTTCAAGGCTAGGTCTGGCGTTGTTCATTTCCACATGCAGCTGCCTCAGCTGGCCAGTCACCACCATGATTTGGGGTTAGAGACCCTGGTCCTGGAAAGGCAAGTAAAAACAATTACTACATAGCCAGAGAGCTTTCACAGAGATGTTAGACTCAACGTTCTAGGCCAACAGTTCCCCTGAGCTAGTGAAGTGGGGGTGCATTATCATTCTTATCGTCATTTTACAGATGAAGACACTGAGGCTGCAGAAGCTCCAACATCCTTAACCAAAGTCACATAAAATAGCTCTTAAAATGATAGTCTGGAGAGATTTGAGATTTGTGCCTAGCATCAATTTCCTCATCTGTAAAACAGAGATAATAACACCTCTTATTTATTGTGTTGGTGAAGCTTCATTTCTCACATACTTTGGTCATGGTATTAACAGGAGCCAGTCCTTGAAGAAGGATATTATGCATGGAAAGGTGGGTCAGTGTAAGAAAGGAAGCCCTCCAACAAGATGGATTGACACAGCAACTGTGACAAATGGGCTCAAGTGTATCAAAGATGGTGAGGATAGTACTGTGTAAGGCAAGGTTCCCATCCACTGTCCACAGGGTCGCTGTGAGGCATGGCTGACTCGAGAGTACATAACAACATAATTTATATGTTGAAACCCCTGTGCCATGTAATTAAACACTCAGCTGCTAACCTGCGCTTAGAAGTTCAAGTCCACCAGAGGTGTATTAGAAGAAAGACCGGGTGATCTATTGGACACAAAAATAACAAAGCTTCATTTCACAAACTTTGGGCACGGTACTCGGAGAGAGACACCATGCTTGGAAAGGTGGAGGGTGAGCAAAAGGGAGGAAGACCCCCACCCAGGTAGATTGACATGGGGACTGCAGCAGAGATTGTGAGAATGGCACAAGACAGGCCTAGGTTTAGATCTGTTGTTCATAGGGTTGTTCATGAGTCAAGAGGGTCGTACTTGACTCAAGGGAAGCTAACAAGAAGAACCACCACTGAAGATTGAAGTCACATGCATTGGAATGGACTTAATGGTAATTGCTGCTGTTGTTGCCATATGTATATACTTACTTGTGTGTGGAGGGTGTGTTTGTATTTATTGAGGTTTTTTAGCCTCTGTTCTGTTTTCACACTGCAAACTTCCCTTGTTCAATGGTATATTGCCAGGTGGCCTGGAGGTAAGAAGCTATGCTATAATCCTGAAACCATGTGGTTCAAGGTCACCAGCTACTGTGTGGGAGAAGTATGGGCTGTCTCTTCCCCTGAGATTAACAGTCTCTGAAAATCCACCAGACGGTTTGCTATAGGTCTATGGTACCAACAACAACAATGGATAAATGATAGAAGTGTAGGCAGACCCTTGCACTTCTAGTTGTTATGTGTCATTGAGTCAGCACTGACCCACAGTAAATTGAAAGGCAGATGGCCCATCCTTCTGCAGAGCAGCTTGTGGATTCGAAAAGAGTTCCTTTGAATTGGCAGCACAGCACCTTACCACTCAGCCACCCTAGCAGAGGGTCTAGTTTGTAACTTCTTTTGTTGCTGTGACTGCCAACCAGCTGGCCCCAATCGCATTCTTTCAAAGTGGATTACTGTGCCTTTCTTTCTAGCCCCCGTGGGTCTTTAAACAGCTCTGAAACGTCATCAGCAGCACTTCAGCATAGAGGCCACCTCGCTGAACAGGACTGACCTGGACTTTAACGGGGTGGGCCACACGGAAGGCTCCGGCGCTATGGCTGAACCACTGCTGCCCCCTGTGTTACCTCCTCGGTTCTGCACATTCTCCCGGACACGAGATGGACGCCTGGAAAGCCTCCGGGTGGGCGGCAGGGTAATAGACTCCAGCACTTCAAAAAGAAAAAAATGCACACAATTCAAGAGTGAAGAGAAAGGTAAAAGTATCCACCGGGAGGAATACAATATTGGTGGATATCAAAGCCCCCTCGGGCCTAGACCCTGGGTTCCCCTCTATTTTGACGAAAATAAAACACCCCAGGGAAAGTCTTTCTCTTGCACAAACAAGCACGACGTGGTGCTGCTTCCGAGTTGCCAGCGCATGGCCACAGGCTCAGAGCTTTTAAATTAATGGAAAAGGGGAAGGAGACAATACTTAGGACGTGAAGAGCCGGCACAATAAAGCGGCCGGAAGCCGAGACCCCCCGCGCAGGACAGCAGGGGCCCGCGCGGACACAGAGCGAGGCAGAGGCACGGACGTGGAGAAGCCAGGGCGGAGCCAAAGTGACGGCGGATTGCGCTCCACACTTCCGAGCCGTTCCACCTTAAGTGCCCAGCCCCCCTTAAGAGAGGCCCTTGGGGCGTGGCCTTCCATGCAAATTAGGGGCGTGGGTCGGCGGGGCGGGGCGGGCGGGGCGCTGACCTGACGTCAGGCCCGTGGCTCGGGCAGTTGGCGAGGCGGCGGCGAGGCGGCAGGATCGCCGGCGTGAAGCGGTCCGCGCGGTGGTGCGCGGGGAGCGGCGGAGCAGGAGCAACATGGCGCCGGTGGGCGGGGGCGGAAGCTCGGGCGGCGGGCCGGCCCGAGGGCGCCTCCTCCTGGAGGCGCTGCTGCTGCTGGTGCTACTGTGTGTCCCCGGGGCTCGGGGCCAGGACGACCCTCCGCGGAGCACCATCCTGGGCATGAGGCTGGCGAGCTGCAACAAGTCATGTGGGATGAATTCGGAGGGCATCATCTTCGTCTCCGAGGGTAGCATTGTCAACCTGAGATTGTATGGCCAGCGGCTCGGCTCCATGTCCAGCAACCTCATCTCCTTCACTGAGGTGAACGACTATGAGACTTCCCACAACTCCACCAACTGCCCAGAGCTGACCAAGGACCTCGTTGTCCAGCAGCTGGTCAATGTGAGCCGTGGGAACACGTCTGGGATGCTGGTGGTGCTCACCAAGTTTCTCCGGAGGAGCGAGAACATAAAGCTGTATGCACTGTGCACCCGGGCCGGGGTGGACGGACCCTGGCAGAGATGGACGGACAAAGACTCGCTGCTCTTATTGGTGGAGGAGACCGGGAGGTTCCTGCCGCTGTGGGTGCACATCCTCCTCATCATGGTGCTGCTGGTGCTGTCGGGCATGTTTTCTGGCCTCAACCTGGGGCTTATGGCTCTGGACCCCATGGAGCTGCGGATAGTGCAGAACTGTGGTACGGAGAAGGAGAAGCGCTATGCACGTAAAATTGAGCCTATCCGGCGCAAGGGCAACTACTTACTCTGTTCTTTGCTCCTGGGAAACGTGCTGGTCAACACCTCTCTCACCATCCTGTTAGATGGCCTCATTGGGTCTGGCCTCATGGCAGTGGCCTCCTCCACTGTTGGCATTGTCATCTTTGGGGAGATCGTACCTCAGGCCCTGTGCTCCCGACATGGGTTGGCGGTGGGTGCCAACACCATCAGCCTCACCAAATTCTTTATGTTTTTGACCTTCCCCCTAAGTTTCCCCATTAGCAAGCTCCTGGACTTTATTTTGGGCCAGGAGATTGGCACTGTTTACAACCGGGAAAAGCTGATGGAGATGTTGAAGGTGACAGAGCCCTATAATGACCTCGTGAAAGAGGAGCTAAATATGATCCAGGGTGCCCTGGAGTTAAGGACCAAGACAGTGGAGGATATCATGACCCAGCTGCAGGACTGCTTCATGATCCGCAGTGACGCCATCCTGGACTTCAACACCATGTCTGAGATTATGGAGAGCGGCTATACCCGCATCCCTGTGTTTGAAGATGAACATTCCAATATTGTAGATATCCTCTATGTCAAAGACCTGGCCTTTGTGGACCCTGATGACTGCACCCCCCTCAAGACCATCACTCGCTTCTATAACCACCCAGTGCACTTTGTCTTCCATGACACCAAGTTGGATGCCATGCTGGAGGAATTCAAGAAGGGTAAGGGTTCACTTCCTTGCTAACACCTCTTACTTGTTTTGTGTCTGTTAAGCTTAGTGTTTGGTTTGCAGGACTCTTCAGACCATCACTTCTATACTTCTGGCAAGAGCAGTGTTCAGGGCAACAAAAGTAGGTCTGCCCTCTGCCAGGTGTTATGTTTTGTTCTTCATGTGAATCAAACTAAGTCTCTCTGTGCCTGGAGAGGAGTCTAATTAGAGGATCGAGCAAGGCCTCTGGGAGCTATTGATCTTGGAGAGAGAAAAGCAAATACCTGCATAGAGGTGGAGACCAGAGCAATGGAGAGATGAAGCGTGGGGCCTGCACGTGTGTGACAGAGGAGAGGTGAGGAAGGGTACGGAGAGTCAGGGAACCCTTCACACAAGTGGGAGCATTTGAAGAGGGGCTTCAGAGATGGGGAGGCTTTTGACAAGTGACTTGTATTTGAGTCAAAGGGAGAACCTGCCTGGAGAAGGGAAAAAAGTGTTGGTACATGTGGTTGGGCCGAATATGGGTTCCATGTCTACGTTAATGGGGGAGAGGCTGAGAAGTTTAGGGATGCTGTGATGAAGAGCCCTGAAAGCTGAGCCAATAAATTAGCTTAGCTTAGTACTATCAAAGATCTTTGGTCAAAGGGAGTGAGTGATGTCAGTGGAAATCTTCATCTGCAGAAGGGAACTCTTGTGGGCTTCTTGTTAGGTGCACTCAAGTCAATTAGAGGCCATTACAACTCATACCTACCCTATAAACAGTACCTACCCTATAAACAGTAGCCTTGAGCCCTGCCCTATCCTGAGTCAGTCTTACTGTCTCTGACACATCTGTCCCCATTGCCCTAGTCACTGTATCAGTCATCCTGGGTCTTCCTCTTCTGCGCTGTCCCATTGCTCTTCCAAGCATGATGTCCTTGTCCAACAACTGGTCCCTCCTGGCAACATTCCCAGAGTTTGTGAGGATGGAGCTTCAAAATCCTTGCCTCCAAGGAGCAATCTGGTTTTACTCTCTCCCGGATAGACCCGTTTTCTTCTCTTGGCCCTGTCTGGTGGCTTACTGGTAAGAAATTGCACGCCAGTGCAAAGGTATTTGGTTAGAATCCACCAGCTGCTCCGTGGGAGAAAGATGGGCAGTCCCTCTCCTGTGATTTACTGCCTCTGAAAACCTGCTGGAGGGTCAGCTGTGGGTTGATTGTGACTCAGTGATACTCACCAACATCTGCAGCGGCTAGATACTCCTTAGGAGGCCTGTTTGGTTACCGGCACAGGAACAATGTCCAGTAACTTTCTACTATTCAGAAACTAGTAGATTAAGTTTTGGTTACTGCTCTGTCTTTCCCAGGCGCCAGGCATAAGCTTCCCTCCTGTGGTCTGATGGAATCCTATCCTGGCCTTGCATCACCTGTTTTTCTCACATAGTTTCTAGGTGGTTTCACAGATAGCTAGAGAGGCACTTGGAGGGTTTATTCACCAGCATTAAAGTTCTGGGCACACCCTCCCCCCATTTCTTTCCAACAAGAGTTTCCTCCCACCTCTGCCACTCAAAGGCCCTCAGTGGCAGTAAACAAGCCAATTACGGAGTAAAACCCTCCTAGGCCAAATGCAGTGAGGAGGCAGGGAGAGAAGCTATTTCTTTTTCTCTTTTTTTTTAAATTATTCCCTCTTTTTTTAATTTTTTTTTTTTTTATTATTATTTGTGTGTGTGCGCGTGTACCGTCAAATCAGATCTGACTGGTACAGGAGGAGATTGCCCCTTCTCCAGCAGAGCATCTGGTGGATTTGAACCGCATACTTCTGGGACTGCAGTGCAGCTGAGAGAAGCTATTTCTAAATGATGGGGAAGACATATCCTAACTCTTGGAATGTTGCTTTTTAAATGCCCTGCCTGCTCACAATGCTGTAGGTAGGGCACACAGTACTTCTGAACCCCAGCTGGAGGCAAGCTCAAAGATTCCTTAGATTGTTTTAGGAACAGCCTTGTAAATAGCTACATGAATGGGTGGGGGAGCCTTTTCCAGGTTCAATCTGAGAAAGTGCTTCTGTGTGGTATTTTCACTTTATTTTTTAAGTTCATAGAGTGCACTTGAGCACCAGAGCCAACCTAGTGTCCATCACCTTCCTTCCTGAGAGGCCAGCTTGGGAAATGTCAGCCAGAGTGGGAGGCAGACATCTGTGTGAAGGCAGCCTCCCGGGAGCCTGGAGGGATACAGACTGGTGGATGCTGGCAGAGCCTTGGGGGAACTTGGAGGATGCAGACCCAGGAGCCTGGGACAGAGAAGGTGCTCAGGGCAGATTTCTGTCCCCATTCTACCCTCAGCCTCATGGCCCAGACTTCCCCAGGACCCCTTGGCTAGAGGAGTCTGGCAAAGACTCTGCAGTGCAGCTTCCTCCTCACCACTTCTGTGATCTGTGGTAAGTGCTGGTGACACACCCAATATCACATTCTCTTCCATTCAGCCTAGATCTGGATCTAACCAGTATATGAATTGACTTGGCTAGGCTTCCAGGCCTCATACAACTTCTTTAAAAAACCCAATAAACTCTGTTGGATTTGGGTGAAACACTTCCTGGATCTTGGCAGGGCTGCCCTTGGGCTCCATCTCATGAAGATATTATGCCTTTTCAGTAAGCTGATAAAAGAGCAATATCTCAGCATCTGAGGTCAGACATCTGTAAAGGAAGCTCTCCAGATTCATGTTTTAATCTACCAGATTCTCTTTCTCAGCAGAGGCCTGGAGCTTGATGCTGAGCCCTGGAGAATGTTGTTGTTATGTGCCTTCGAGTCGTTTGCGACTCACAGCGACCCTATGCACAACAGCCCTAAACCCCCGCTCTATCCTGCGCCAACCGCAATGCTCTGACACACCCATCCCGATTACCCCAGTCACCGAATCAATCC